AAAGAATAAACCAGTTTTGTTAAATAAAGACTTGTGTCGTTAAAGTTTCGTCGGAACGAAGTTACGGAAAATCAATTAACAAACGGAGACGTAACAATATTCTCTCATCTGACAAATTGATCACACTAAAGGATCACCAGTGTCCTACTTTATATTCTAAGCATTGAAATTTGATTATCTTGTTTTTCAAAATGACAATTCAACCAACATCATCTTTCACACTGAGTCATTTTAAACTTAATACAATTCCTATTTAAACCAACTATATTAGTCAAGGCTACCAACTTTAGAATAAAGGGAAGTAAAAAAAAAACGTTACGTCAATATTACTTGGCTAAGGTTTAATTCCCTGATAGATTTTACTTTTTAAACTCGTTTTTTCACGAAGAAGATTCCGAAAACAGTTTTCTGGGTAATAGAGCTATAATAATTACAATTACTGTGCGGTTCACGCAGTTTGTTTGAAGAGCATACGTTCCACGTAACTGGTAATTTCAGATCACATGAAGCAACATATTCCATCTTTGCACATATGCCAATTCGTTAATGCCACTGTCTCTCGCAAGATTTTTTTCCCTACTTTATTTTAGAAAGTATTAAAATAATTTGGTCAAGCTTGAAAAAAAGAGATGACGATCTTGGGCAGTGGTTAACATTTATCACTTGGTAAATTTAAATCATGTATTATTGTTATATACTATGGTTGTCACCATAACACGAATGAACAGACCAAGAACAGGAAAAAAAAAAAGAGAGTTATTTTTTATACACACTATTCAGAAAACCTTGACATAGATTTATATCATGGAAGTTAACATGAATGCATCATTTGAGCGAGACCAATGTACGTCAAAGAACTTCAATGAAAAAGTTGCATTCCTTACTGTGTTGTATGAAGACAAAGGGCTATTCAGGTTTCGCTTCAGTGAATCTCTCAAAGAAAAACAAAAATGCAACACTAATCCCACCCTCGCATATTCACATTGCTACTAATGCCTGATGTAAACCATCTGATCTTGTGAAAAGCCTGGAGTGAACTAAAATAAGCTTAGTTCGTGAATAGACGAGAGACGAAATTTTATACCGTGGTGACACAAAACTAGGAAGCATTTCAGAATCATGAAAGAGTTTACACTATATGGTATTATCATAATTATTGGTACAGGTGTGCCTCTAGTAACAGAGACGTCAGGCTACATTCGCCGTCCTTCTTCCTTTCCATACCAATACTATCCTCCAACTTTCATCAACAACAACCCCTATCCAGGTCGCTTCGTTGGAAGAGGCAGTGTTCGGCAGTTATACAGACCCAGGGACGTAGAACTCAACTGTAACTTTTACGAATCAAATGTACAACTCGTTTCTGTGAGTAGACTGTAAAGAAAAACGTTAATATCTCTAGATCTAAAAGTTGTGTTTTCTTTGTTTGAATTTGTGTTTATATATTTATGTTAAGTTATTGTTAACAAGTGAATAACTCCAGTAGATAGCTTTCTTTGAAATCATAACTATCAAAAGAATGTAAAGTCATGCTTACTTTCCGTTTTTATTTCCTAATATGACACATTCGATGAAATAAATTTCAACTAAACAAATGAGTAAAAAAAAACAAAAAAAACAAGTGTCGCACTTGTGTATAAATAAAACCATGGCACGAAGCTAAAGAGTGAAAACGGTATAATGTATGTTAGAGGAAAAATTATCTGAGAAATGCAAGAGTATTCTGTATTTTCAACCTAAACGGTACCTTATACGACACATGGGCTGAAAGGCCAGGTAAGAGTCTTTACCAGAATGAGGTGTAAATAGTGAATGAGTACTGGCTATTAAAGTCCATTTATGAGCAACAGCTCAATAAAAGTGCTAGAAGAGAAACGTTTTGGGAACTAGCTACCAAATAATGCTAAAAGTGATGACTTTTCTCAAAATTCATTTTAAAAATGAAGCTTAATATAAACAAATGGTTGGGTGTAGCTTATGGTTATTGTGCCAGTCTGTGAATTGGAAGGACCAATGCTCGAAGACGATAGCACGCTGAATACATTCTGCACACTCAGATATGGGTGCATTATAACTGCGACAGTAAAACCTGTTATTCGATTAGAGTAGCCGTATAGGTAGGTGGCCGGTGCTATCGACTAGTGACTTTTGTTTATTTGTTTTGAATTTCGCACAAAGCTACACGAGGGCTATCTACGCTAGCCGTCCCTAATTTAGCAGTGTAAGACTAGAGGGAATGCAGCTAGTCATCACCGCCCACCGCCAACTCTTGGACTACTCTTTTACCAACGAATAGTGGGATTGAACGACACATTAAAACGTCCTTACGGCTGAAAGGACGAGCATGTTTGGTGGACGAGGATTTGAATCCGCAGATTGCGAGGCGAGATCCCTAACCACCTGGTCATGCCGGGCCCGACTAGTGACAGTGAAAATCTGTTGATTTCTTTTTATAGTATTATATATATTCACTGAAGCATTGACATAATGGTGCATAACGTTTTTTTTAATACTAGGGCTCATATTGTCCTTTGTGTTTATCACAGTTTAGTTTTGAAAACTTATTATTTTTAAACTTAAAACAGTAATGATGCATTAGAACAGCGTTTCCCAAACTATGGGTCGCGACCCACTGGTGGATATAAGCGGAATGTTAGTGGGTCGTAAAAATGTATACTAGAATTACGCATTAGCTTTGATTAAACGCTGTCTGTCGAGATAGTTCAAGACTCGGGCTTTCATTGCCAGGCTGTTGTTGTATCAAGCAGTATGTTGTTTTGACGAGCTTAACGAATCAGAGTTGATCATGCTCTCAATTTAATCATTCGTCATCGTAAAAGGGAAATCAATTTTCACTTATTCATACAGTACTTTAGCTAGAGTACCAGTTTTATCAGTTGATTGCAGAATTTTAACTTTTGATTATAGATATCTATAGTTTTTTTATATTTCTAGGTATCCTTTGATCATATGTAGATATAATGCGCCCCCGGCTCCTACGCCTATGCTATTTCAATCAAAAGTTCCAATTCTGCAATCAAAAGTTAGATATCTGCATTCAAATGATAGAAATCTACAATCCATTGTTCATATTCTGCAATCAACTGATAAAACCGGTACAACGCTGAGCGAGACGATAACTGCTTCGAGGCTCCACGTGTCAGCCAATGAAATGACTGGAATAGACGGTGTGAAGCGTTTTGGCAGGCGCGTGATCCTACGCCAACCAGTGTTTTAATTGTGTCAAATCGAGTGGCAAGTCGAAATTGTC